CTGTCTTGTTAAAATATTAATAATAATAATCCTAACATTGGCTGGCCGCCTGTATTGAGCACTCACCCTGGGCCAGGAGATGCAGACACCACCATGAACAGAACTGCCAGCTCTGGTGGAGCAGACATTCTAGATAAGTAAGATATCACCAGGTAGTAACAAGTGCTGGAAGACAATCAAACAAAAGGGTAGGCTGGGACAGAATAAGGACTACCCGAAATGGGGCTTCTCCCGACACCCCAGTCCCACATGGCCGGGCTTTTGGCGAGGTCCATTGGAACTCTGTGCCCCCTGGGGTGCATTTCCAGCCCCATGAATCGTGAAGAGGTCATTCAAGGTCGTGGAACTCAGGCCCTGTCTGGACAGGGCACCTCGATGCAAGCTGCAAGCAAACCCTGCCTTGGGGTGTGAGTGGGGAAGGCACACGCATAAACCTAATCATAAGCGTCAAATGATCCAAAGGCCGGTGGATGCAATGTTTTCTCATCTTTAAAACCAGGCTACTTGCCGCCCTGCTGTGTAGGATTGCCGTGAGGACAAAGGAGATGATGTCAAGTGCTTTGAAACAAGCACTCTGTAAATATTAATGGTGACTAATTGTTGTTGTTAATCTCAGCTCTGGGGCCTGGGAAAGCAGAGAACCAGGTGGGTTCTATAAGTCTGTGCCAAGTAAGGGTTAAAGAGATGTGAGCAAAGAGGTTGGGTTTCAGAACTTTAGGACAGTTCAGTTTGTTTTTCAGAAGCCAGTGTTTTCTGGCTGCGGGGGAAGTGACAGATGGTTGGCCTGTGATCAGCTGTGTGGGTGCGTGAGCGTTAGAGGGGCAAGGAGCGCCCCTGCGGTCTGGCTGACGAGCAGAGAGACCTGCTGGGGGCAGCAAAGTGTCCTATAATCTTCAGGAAGCAGGACGCGGCAACTTTCCCTCTTTGCGGATCTCCAGTGGCTTTCATCGGCCTTCCCTGGGCATTGAAGGAAATGCTCTCCACCCCTCCCCCCTGCGTTTCCAGGAAGAGCCTGGTCTGAGGATCCCCACAGAGTGGGAAGCACCTGGCGCACACCAACGTCCAGAGCATCCTCAGACATCAACAGGATGATGAGCCAGATCAACAAAAGCCGCACAACTTGGCGTGAGGAACGTTGATTTTCGCCCTGGCCCCGTGGAGAGAGGGGCAGGCTTGTGGGGACACCCGTCCCCTCTCCAGACTCATCTGCTGACTGCTTTGTGGCTGTATGGAAGAGCTTATGGCCCTCCCGCCCGTCAGCAGCCGACCCAGGCTTCCGACACTCCGGGGCACTTTCTGCTGCCACTCAGCTTACAGTTGGGGAAACAATTCCCAGGTTTTCCCAACCTGTTGGTTCTGGGCACGACTTGCCTGTCACCGTGAGTTTTGAGGATCACGTGACTTGTGAAAGGCGCTACATGACAAGCAATGTCAAAACAGAAGGGACCCTATTGACTGAAGCTCGTGGTTTATAAAGGACTGAAATCACAACTCAAATTAGCTTAAGTCATAAAAACCACACCAAACAAGACAAAATGCAGGAAAGCCCAAGGGCTCCTGATTCAGGCAGGGCTAGATCCAGGCGCTCAAACAACGTCACCAAGGCATGGACCTCTCTTTCCCCTTGGGATCTGTTCTCTTCTGTTGGGGCTTAATTCTCAGACAAGCTCCACTATTGGGTAGTAAAAATTACTTCTGGAAGCTCCAGGCTTTAACCCTACAGCACAATGAGAAGAACTCCGCTTGCATTTCAAACAAAATCCCAAAGCTGACTCTCATTGGTTCCGTTGAGTCCCAACTCCATTTCTGAACCAATCGCCGAGCCCAGGGGGAGGGAAATGCTCTGACTGATGGGGCTGAGGCGGCAGAGCAGTCCCGGGAACTGTATGGACAAAAAAGGTGGGTTGTCCTGTGCAGAAGAGGAGTTAGGTGCCTAGCAGGCAAAGCACAACACTTACAGTCCCTTGCATGTGGGGGGCTTCCAGCTCTGGGCCACTGTAGGCCGCCTGGCTCTGCTCACCGGACCACACTGCCTTTCCCCTCCTGGTCTCAGCGCTGCCCTTTGGATGCACTCTGTGCTTGACTTCTGTTAGGAAGATTTGGGGTGGGGGAGGTGTCCTTTGGGTTTCCTGCCCAGAGTGGAGTTCTTTGTGTGGATGCAGGGATGCATTTTATAGGCCCGGTGTCTGCATGGACAGCCTGACAGCAGGGTCCCCTGGGTTGGGGGGGTGGCGCTCACACAGCAGACAGGTGGGCTGGGGGCCAGCCAACCTCTGAAGGTTGCAGAGAGAGGATTTCAGAGAACTGGTCCATTCCTGGCCTGCAAGGAGATGGAGGTGGCACACAGACAGGACACAGGGAAGCAAAGATCTTCTTTTCTTTTTTTTTTTTTAAGATTTTATTTATTTATTTGAGAGAGAGAGAGCACAAGCAGGGGGAGCGACAGAGGGAGAGGGAGGAGAGAA